ACTTGTTGTGCAGGCCTAACAACCCAGTTCAGACCCTGGAACCTGTGTAAATCTGGAAGGACTTAGCTGCAGCAGGCTTCCCAAACTTGTCCTCCACCCTCTACAATATGTACACGCATACACACATGAGTAGTAATTGTTTTTGAAAGAGTGGTTTGGACTCATGGGTCCTAGAGAGTTAACTTTAAGTGTTAGGTGCTGGATAATCATGGATTTAGGAACATCTGGGTAGTAGGTGTCTGTGAGGCAATCGCAGGAGGGCTAACTAGTAGCCAGTGCTCAGGAAGATGGCCTCCACACACTTGTGCACACTGTAAAAGCCACAGAAGTTAAGAGACCTCTGTCTAGTTTGGGGCTTAGTAAGTAGCAGCAAATGTAGGCTGGTGGATGTGTTTGGCTTTCAAAGTTCTTGTTTCCACAGTTCTAATTCAAGATTCTTGAGAAAACAATGAGATGTTAATGGAGTTTCTTGGGAGAGGGTGGGAGTGTTAGACCTTGACTGGGAAGATAAAGAATCAAAGAAGAAAGACTCCAATAGGAAACTGCAGTGAGCTGGCTTTGAAGGATGAATAAGAGTATGGGAGTCAGAAGAGTCAGCTGGACTGATAGAGTTACCATACCAGTGCTGTGGGGACTGTGAGCCTTTTCAAGCCATTTCCCCTATGCCTCACTAATGACAGTAAGAATGTGGCACGTTTAAAGGAAATTTGACAACGGAGAGGGTAAGCCAGCGCTGTGAAAGCTGTTATTGATGTCCTGTTAACCATCTTACCGATTTATTGTGAGCCAGATGAGGTCAGTTGAAAGGGAAATTTTACTTGACTTACTCATTTCTATCAGGCACTTAAAAGTAGCATGCTGTAAAAGAGAGGCAAGGGGTAGATTTGCTATTTATAAATAATGAGGCATCTGAAGAGAAGGCAAAAGGCAGAGACAGTCAGCACCTGGGAAGACCGAGGAGCGTGGGCAGAGTCAGAGGAGGGAATCATTGACACTGGCCTGGGTGGGAGCAGGCTGATGTCTCCATTTAGTGGTCTTTTCATTGACAGAAATGTGAGCGTCTTCTGTTTACATTCCAGTGTTTGTCAGTGTTGGAAGTAACTGTCAACTGGACTACAGAAAAATCATCTGAGAAGGTGTCTCGACTCAGTAATTCCCTGATGAGACTGGCCCGTGGTCATGTCTGGGGATTTCCTTGATTGTTATGTAGGAGTACTCAGTCCACTGTAGGCAGTACTATCTGTAGGCTATGGTCTGGGTTATATTAGAAAGCAGCTCAGCATGAGAGAAGGAGCCATTTAGTTCCTAGGTTTCTTATTCAAGCTCCTTCTTGAGTTTCTGCCTCAGCTTCCTGTGCCCTAGAAAGTGTAAAGCCATTTGAACTTTTCCTCAAGTTGCTTTTGGTCAAAATAGTTTATCATAGCCACAGAATTGGACCAGGCCAAGGTCTTTATCTTGAATTTCTCCAGATTTGGCTTCTTTCTGTCCATGTTATTCTGCTCCTGGGCAGACTTCTCAGTAGCTGGAATGGAAACTCCAGCAAAGCAGTTGCTGGGAAGAGACTTGCTTTCCCAAGCAGCTTTGCAAGTTGGTTGAGCAGCCCTTGCTGTGCCTCCTGGGGCACTGAAACAGTGCAGAGAGGGGCTTGCTGCCTGCTCTGTAGCAGTGGAAGGTGCAATCATGACCATTTACTTTGTCTTTGTTCTTATCATTCCTGATCATAAGATGGTTTTTAAGGATCGACTCACTTACAGTGCACTGTAGGACAAACCTGACAAAGCTAGTGCTTCATATTATATAATTATTAATAATTATCACTTGTAGTCTTATGATATGTCTAATTATAATGATGGGCTTCTTTTTATATATTTGCACATTCAATATATAAAATAACTATCATCATATTGAATACAAGGAATTTATATAACTCTTCCCAGTAGTTTTTTCATTTGGTGTATGTATGTGTAATTAATATTAATATATATATATATATGTATATATACATATATATATATATATATATATATATATGAGAATGAGAGAGAGAGGGGTTTGTGTGAGTATGTGTGTATGTGTGAGCATGTGTGCCACACTGTGAGTGTAGAGGTCAGAAAACAACTCTGGATTTAGGTCTGTCATTGCACTTGACATGGGCTCTGGGGCTTGAACTTGGGTGGCCAGGCTTGCTTAGCAAGTACCATTGGGCCATCTTGCTGGCTTTATCTTCATTTTAAAAGACTATTCCATAACGAGATACATGTGAGTATGTGTTTTATTTGTTGTTGATGACAGGGCCTTGTTATGCAGCACAGGCTGGCCTTGAACTTGTTACCCTCTTTCCTCAGCCTTCATGTGCTGGGACTGCAAGTGTGTGTGTGTGTGTGTGTGTGTGTGTGTGTGTGTGTGTGTGTGTCACATCTAGTTATAGTGTTACTAGTCTCATGGCACTTGGTTTTTGTTCACATAGAAGCTGTATCAGCTCGTCTCCCAGCAGTACCCCTCACGCCCACATGGACCCACGTCTCTGTACTGCCATGTGTTTCCGTTTATCCCCTCAGAGGTTGCTAGAAGGGCATCTAGCCTAGCCTGAGTAACAAGCAGTTCTTCTCAGCCCCTTACCCTGCCTGTATACTTAAGGTTCCTCTTCTTTTTTCTTTTCAGATTTATTTATTTTATTTTATGATGCGAGTGCTTTGCCCGTATGTATATATGTGCAACATATGTGTTCTTGGTGCTCACAGAGGTCAGGAGAGGGAGTTAGATCCCTGAAACTGGAGTTTTGGATGGTTGTGAGCCACCATGTGAGTACTGGGAACTGAATCCCGGTCCTTTCTCCAGCACAACCCCTTCTGCATATTTTAATGAAATGGTAGGCACTTCCTTTACATACAAACAGAAACATGCTTATTTAAGTATAGTGAATGACATAGTAGCCACCACTTCCCACATTTTTTCACTGCTGGCCTTGGTGTTTTTATGATCCTGCATCTTCTGTGTGTCGACTGGGTTTGTGGGAGAAACTGTCCTTCCTCTCATTGGCTTTCCTGTGAGGTCTGCAGCTTTCAGATAAGCCAGGGAGTTATGGAAGGGGTGGATGGATGGATAGCATTTGTGGCACAAGTCCTAAAGCTGTACTTTTTTAATTCCCAACCTTCCTAATGCTGTGACCCTTTAATACAGCTCCTCATGCTGTGGTGACCCTCAACTATAAAATTACTTTCGTTGCTACTTCACAACTGTAATTTTGCTACTGTTATGAATCATAATGTAAATAATTTTGGGCATAGAGGCTTACAAAAGGGTAGTGATCCACAGATTGAGAACCACTGCCTACAGTCTGTCTGGGGAATGTTCCTCTTGTTAGCGCTTTCCCAGCAGAGTGGAGCATTCCTGGCTGGCTCTGTAACTCAGGGACAGTAGAAAGGCATTGAGCTTTGTTCCTGTATTATCTGTTTTCCTGGGCAAAGGCCTGTGGCAAAAGCAGCTCTGTCTGGACAGTGGGGAAAGGAACATCTGTCCAAACCTTGATGGTTTGATGAAATCCATTGAGTCAGAAACAAACTGTCAGTAGACAGACAGGAGAGAAGGCATATACATGTATTCATTTCAAGCTTATATGACACAAATCATGACACTCAAATGCAGGCCAGGTAAATGGTTGAAGCTTACAGGCTCCCTTCATAGAGGAGAAGTAAGGCGTATAGGCAATATGAGACTAGGGTAAGTGATCTCTCACAGAGACAGCCAGTGGACAAAAGGCTAAGCAGTGCTGAGCCATTCTAGCTATGGTGTCTGTCCTGCTCTTTGACCTGCTGGAGGAGCAGGCTGCTAGCCAAAGAGCTCTATGACCCCATCTCCTGTCTACCGCCAGTGGCAAAGGCAAAAGGGAGGTGAGGGAATCTCTCCATTGCTGAGGCCAAACCCAGCAGACAAGAGTCAGGGCTGGCTCTTCCAAACTCAAGCCTACAACCCCCACATCCAGGGCCAGGTCTACTGTGCTGGCTAGGTGAGGTGCAGGTCTAGCTCTCCCAAGTGCTGCAGTAGTTGAGGGGCAGGGACAGCTCTCTTGCTCTCATGACCACGGGGCCAAGTCTTCTGCCTGCCATAGGTTGCGAGGGATGTGTGTGGGGGCACATCTCTGCCTTGGCTATGTCACTGCACAGCAGACAAGTAGCATGGTCAGCTGTCCCAGCTCACACCCTCAGGTCAGCTTGCCTGCCCCCCTGATACCAAAGTCAGCTCTTCTGTGCTGCTCAAGCGAGGTGCAGAGCCCATTCTCCCAAGTGGTGCAGCTGGTGAGGGGCAGGATCAGCTGTCCTGCTCTCATGTCTCCTGGATCAGGGCTCTCACAAGGCCTAGGTGAGGGGTGGGACCAATTCTGCACAGCCCTCAGATATCAACATATCCACAGGTGGCAGCCAAGACCAGGGATGTCTGCCTGGCTTTTGGTGGTAAGAAACTCCTGTTACTGTAGGGCTACAGACCCAGACATGGCCCTGGGTAGCAGCACAGGCAATGCCTCATCATGGTCCTAGGTGGTATCACTGGCTATTCACATAGGGTTCCTCACTACCCTAGAGTATTTAGTTCTGCTGCCTTTCTTCTTTGTGTTCACATCCTTCTGTTTCTCTTCTCCATTTCTCTACCGCTTACTTGCCTGGGGTCTCCGAGTGTCTGGAGTTGTCTCAGGAGTGCTATGTCTTGTCTGTGTATTGTGGTACTAGGCAGGGGTCATTTCAGGCATGGTCTGCCCCCTCCTAGGCCTGTATGCTGCTATACTGATCTCAGGCTAGGTTTGATCTTGGCCTCATGGCACCAGTCTGGTGGTCTTCACAGGCTTGCTTCTCACTTGATCAAGCTCACCTGAATGGCTTCATTCTGGGGTCTTCTGTCATGGGCTCATTCCTGCCCAGGGCAGGATTTTTCTAGTCTCAGGTTTGCTCCCTGTCCTGGGAGCCCATCCAGGTTTACCTGGCGCCAGACTGATGATTGTCTCAGGGAGTGTTAGTGCTGTTAATCATTCAGATGTTCTTAGGTCAGGACACTGACAGTAGACATAGCCTCTCTCCCCTCTCTGCCACCTACTGACACACATGTGGCACAACAGCCATACCTGCCACACCCCTAGGGGCAGTGACTCCTTATGTTCTTACTGTTGAAGGCTTTCCTTCATTTCCATGCTTGTTTTATCTATTCAGTAACTTCCATTGAAAAATGAGATGACTGCCAGAAGACAACTTATAAAGAAAAGATGGATAGTATTAAGCACACTGAGGGAGAGACCGAGAACTTAGGAATGATTAGAAAAACTGGAGCCACGAATATGAAAACAGTAACTAGATAACAACTGGCAGATGTTTCTCTTTTTTTTTTGTTTTTTTTTGTTTTTTTTTTTTGTTTTTTTTTTTGTTTGTTTTTTCGAGACAGGGTCTCTCTTTATAGTCTGGGCTGTTGTGGAACTCACTCTGTAGACCAGGCTGGCCTCGAACTCAGAAATCCACCTGCCTCTGCCTCCCAAGTGCTGGGATTACTGGCAGATGTTTCTAATAGGACAGAAGGATAGAGTGTGAGAGAGGATGAGTCCTGGGTAGAAATGGCTTTATTACAAGCTGAAAAGCATCAGGGCTTCAGGAATGGCTCAGAGGTTAGAAGCACTTACGCTCTTGCAGAAGACCTGGGTTCAGTTCCCAGCACTTACATGCAACTCACCACTACCTGTATCTCCAGTTTCAGGGGATCTTATTCTTCTTCTGGTCTCCTCAGTACCAGGCATTCACACACAGGCACAGGAAGTAAATCGTTTTTAAAACACCAAGAATTAGGCTGGGAATATAGCTCAGTGGTAGAGCATCTATCTACTATGTATTAGGCCTAGGGATAAGTTCGTAGTACCCTGAAAAGAAAGAAAGCAAATGATTGTAATGTAGCTGGGAGTGGAGCGACAGGGAAAACATGGACTTTTTTCATTCACTGACTCTCGGGTGGCCTTCATGTGCTGCTTCAGTGCAGTATCAAATATTAGATTGTTATATTATTTATAAAAGCCTGTGTTTACTAGTGATCTTATAAAATATAACCCCACAAAAGGAGAAGGTTTCTGTCTTAATGTTTCTGCTATATAAAACACCTTTTCTGTGCCATGGGACTATTGACACCTTATCTCTGTCTTTAGCGGCCTCTTTTCTTTCCTCTTGTTTTCTGAAATAGGGCTTGGTATGTTACCCAGACGGGCCTCACATTCCTGATTCTCCTGCCTCCATCTTCTTAATCCCAGCCGGGATTATTTTATACAGGAAGGACTTCTTTCCTTTTCTGAATGAACATTGCAGTGGGGAGGAAGTTACAGTGTCTCTGGAGACTCAGAAGTGTGGGGTGTGGCATGCAAGTCACCAGGCAGTTCTTCCATGCTTTCATCTCTGGTCTGTGCTCCTGGAAGCTGGACACTTGGACATGTTAGCTATAGCTAAGCTAGACCTCGGCTCCCTGAATTTCCTGAGTTTATTAACCATAAACCCAAAGAGCCACCCAAGAGCCCTTTCTTCTAGCAAATTAAGCATTGCAGTCTCTCTGTATCCATTGTCTCTAAATCACTTTCTAGCTGATTAGAGGTCCTGGTCATTTTGGTCTTGCAAAGGGAAAATTAGGTTTCTCCAATGTGTATGGACCACACTCCAAGGTAGGCCGTGTGCCCAACAGTAGATGGCCAATACTAAATGAACTCAATAGTATATCTGTAGACTTTTTATCTCAGATTGCTGTTTGGGCACTTCCTAGGACAGGGTTTATACCATTTGTCATGGGCAGTCCCTGTTTTGGAGCTTACAGCTCCATTAATCTGGGACCGGAATTACTTTGCTCTAGTCCTGCATTCTCTCTGGTTAACATGCACTAGGCATTCTAAAGATAAAGGCTGGGGCGTAGCTCTGTGGTAGCACTTGCCTAGCATGTACGAAGTCCTAGGCTCCATCCTGGTGTTGCCCCTGCGAAGTAAGTATCAACAATAGATCTCGAGTTTCAAAACATGTTTTCTGATGGACTTTCGAAAGATGATTTGGGGTATGCGATGGAAGGACTTGTGTTGGGATAGGCAAGGTTGTGAAGTCGGGATTTGGGATGGTATTAGGATTCTTCAAGAAATGAAACTGACCAAATGTGTGTGTGTGTGTGTGTGTGTGTGTACACATATATGTGGAAAAAATTATTGTGAGAAGTTGGCTTGCGATTATTGGTGCTAGTAAGTCCTAGGACCTACATTTAGTGTTAGTGACCCAGAAAAGCTGGTAATGAAGCTCCAGACTGAGTCCAGAGCTCTGAGTCCAGGGAAGCAATGGGGAAGTCTTAGTTGAAAGCCCATAGGCCAGAGGCTCAACAGGAGCCTGTAACTCCCTTTGAGAATCCAAAGAAGAAAAAGACTTAACATTCCTGTTCATTCAGGTAAAGACACAAAGAAATGTTTTGCTTTTTGACCTGCCTTTTAGTTGTTGCTTTCAACAGCTTAGTGAGCACTACCACACTTTGAGGTCGCTCTGCTGTACCTAATAATCACCCTCCACAAACCAGTTCCCCAACAAACACAGAGTAGTGTGTTACCAGACATATGTCTGCACCCCATTGCTTAATCAAGTAACATGTGACATCCTCACAGCTACTTTATAGTTTTGAAACAACTTTATATAAAAAATGAGATTTTTCTTTTTTGAGAAATAAGGTGATATACCTACCCCTATTTTCCCTATCCAGAACCCCATATGTTCCCCCACTACACTTAGCCTCCAAACTTTATTATGCCTTTTGTTTGTTTGTTTTGTTTTATTTGAGAACTCACTAAACCCACTTGGTGCTGCCCATATGTGCAAGGGACCATCCACTGAAGCATAGGAATCCTACAAGTGGCCATACCCTCAAAACGAAAAAAAAAAAAAAAGATTATCAGGTGGGAGAGATGGCATCAAAGCTAATAGTACTGGCTGCTCTTCCAGAGGACCCAGGTTCAATTCCCAGCACCTACTTGGTGGCTCACAACTGTCTATAACCCAAGTTCTAGAGGACTCAATGCCTTCTTCTTGCCTCTGCATACATGCATGCAGAAAGAAAAATCATCCATACATATTAAATAAATAAATAGACCCCCCCCAAGTGATTCTCTTTTCCCCCTAGAGACTATCTACTGCCATAACTCCTCAGTAAGTGTGGTCAAAAGAAGCAAATGAACCTCCTGACCTGACCTATAGCTCATCATGACCTATGGCTCATTTCCTTTTAAGCATTAATTTTACTTAAAGTGTAATGTCTAATCCAGATGTTAACAAACTTGGCTGTTCACAGACTAAATGATCATTGCCCAAAAGCCCTTTGATAAAGTATATATATAAATACTTTTGATAAGATATTACTAATATTGTTTTAGGGCTGTGAGTCTGGCTCAGTTTTAAAGAGAACACTTGTCTTTAATGAGTAAGACCCTGACTTCAGTTTTGAGCATTGCAAAATAAAATTATTTTTTAAAGATTTATTTTATTTCTTTTAATTATACGTGTAGGGTTGGGATAGCAAAGGGGTATGTGCACATGAGAAGAAGACATCCAATCCCCTGGAGTTGGAGTCAGTGAGCCACTTGAAGTGGGTGCTGGGAGACAAAGCCAGGCCTTCTGGAAGTGCTCTAGGCACTTAACCCCTGCCTCGAATTCCAGATGGAAGTGCTTCTCACTTCCAGTAGCTGCGAACTGCACTGCTGTTCCTATCCCTGCATGTGGCGCTGGTATATAATCTTGGCGGGTCTTTAAACATAGTGACAGCCTGTAAAGGTGCTTGTTATTGTGTTATAAAAAGTCACATTGTACAGAAATTCCTGGAATAGTTAAGAAAATAGATTTCAGTGTCTGCATTTTCCTGTGTCTGTATGACCCATAATCAATCCCTCATCAGTAAGTAAAGGCCTTTACTTTTAAAACTGATGGTATCCTGGATATCATTTTTATTAGTATTCTGCATAGTTCTCTTTATTTGTTTCTTATCATTTTATATGGGGGGGGGCAGTGTTCATTTGCCATAGAACACATCTTGTGAAAGTCAGGGACAACTTGGATACATCAGTTCTCTCCCTGTGCTATGTGGGTCCTAGGGTTTGAACTCAGTTCACAAGACTTAGCAGCAAAGCAGTTTTCCTATTGAGGTCCTAATCATTTCTTTCTAACAAACACTGTGGATTTCATAAATTAGTGGAGTGGAGCTCTGTCCGTCATCTGGTTTTGAAGAGTTTTAATAAATGTTGCCTGATCACTCTTTGTTATTCAGTCACATAAAACATCCAGTGTGTTGAATGGTGGGCAGGCTTTTATGTGAATTCTACAATTGAATCCTCAAAAGAACCTTATGAGGGAACTGTTGTTAGTATCCTCATCTGGGAACATCTGGATTCCAGCTGTGTGCAGAGCCTGGTGCTTGACAAGGTCATACTGTAATGAACAGAACCATTGCTGGAGCCCACTTTCTTCAGTAAAGAACTGAGCAGACAGACACTCTGGCGAAGGAGGTTGGCAGAAAGGTTAGAAAAAGAAATTTGGGCTACTCAGACAGCATAGCACATGGGATATATATAGAGGAAGCCAGAAGAAATTATGTTTTGTTTTTCTGTTTTTTTTTTTTTGAGACAGGGTCTTACTGTGCAGCTCAGGCCTGCTTCAGGACCCAACCCTCTTGCTCAGCCCTCCAGTTCAGGGACGACAGGTACAGGGGACCATGCCCACCAGGAGGTTGTCTCTGGGAAAATGCCTTTGGGGACAATGTTGAATATCCAATTTAAGGGAAAAGAGTTCAAGGCAGAGAGGCCACTGTATGAGGAAGGGTGTGAGGAAGACGTGTCCCTGAGCAGGGGAACTGGAGACTGGGATGCCAAGGCCCAGGCCAGGCCCTGTGCAGCTGCCGTCTTTTTGGCCAGGTTAAGGATATTGTACCTTTCTCTAAAAGCCATGAGGAGCCTTAGAAATGTTTCTGTTAAATGCGCCCCGAGAGAATAGATATTTGGAAAGCTCTACTCTGTTGGTATGGAGACTGTAAGCTTGGAGTCTGTGACATTTCTATCACCCTATGGCCTCGGCATCTTCATTATTGTCAGTTCATGGATAGAGAGTACCTC